TATATATATAAATATATAACCCTATATTGAGTGTTGTGGTTGTGTCAATGTTGTGGTTGCATCTTAAATTGAATTTGAATTTGAGTTAATGTTCTTTTTGATTGGTTTTGTTATTTTGTTTTTATAAGAGAACAAAGAATTTAATAAGTGATTAAGGTCTGGAGGGTCCAAAAACAGCTGAAACTAATGCGCTTTCTCACACACATACACACTAATACACTCAAACACCCACACACCCACACGCTGCAACAGCCAAGAACACGACAACGACCACGCCCACGCCCACGCCCRAGCCCGCACAGCTGGAAAATTGCATACGCAGCGCCAGTCTGGGCAATCTAGAGTCCAGCGCGGAGCCATCCAAGGCCGTTGCGGCCAGCTCCAATATGCTAACCATACCCGTTGTCCTTTGCGGCTTTCTGCACGGCGATTTCTTTGGCTCCACATTTTCGTTGCGCAATCCGCGCATCACGCCCACACAGGACCTGGAGGCGGGCCACATGAGCGCCGAGCCGTCGAAAACCAGCTTGAACGACACTCAGCATGCCAACAATCCGGCCAGTGCCAGCCCCAGCACAAGTCGCGGTCGTACGGGTCGTTTCTTTGCGGCCGCATCGCATATTCTGGCGCCGGGCAGCGAGCGGGCATTCAATGTGGCAAGTGCGTGAAAACAAAAATGTAAAAAAATTGAAAAAATAAAAGAGTACAACAAGAACAACAACAACAGCTTGCAACTAGCCTAAGTTTCAGCTAGACTCGATATGCCCCTCCCGAAGGCAGTGTATATTATGTAAATGGCTAGGGTTTGGTTTAGCATGCGCTCTCGCTCTCTCTTTTGTCTCTTTCTCTCTATCGCTCTCTCTTTAGACTCTGTCGTAGTAAATTAGTTCAAATGCATTTTGTTAGCCTCTTTGTAGTAGTATACGTATCATACATATATATATGTATATATCTAGGGAGTTATAGCCATTGCTGGACTCCCTCAACACCTTAACTACTCTGTTCGCTCACCTAACGCTACATGGCCACAGACACACACAACGCTTGCTTATCTCAAACGCTTTCTCCTAACCTAAAAACCCTCTCCAAAAAAAAAGAAATACCAAATACCAACAAGCATAAACACTTAAATACCCTATAATAATATTGTGATTTGATATAAATGTAACTAACCTAATATCTGTATACTTATTGTACGTTCTATATTAACTACTCTATATGCATATCTCTATATATACATATGTGTGTGTATAACGCTACTTGTATGTGTTAATTGTGTGTTGTTGGATTGACTTGATTAAATGTAAAAAAAAAAAAAAAAAAAAAAAAAAAAAAAAAAAAAAAACAAATATATATGAAAACCAATCAAATAAATTGCCGCTTAAACATGCGCGCGAAGCAAGCAACCAAAACCTAACGCACAAGTCAATCTCTCTGATTCATAAATTGCCCCCAGATGAGGATGAGGAGCCGCGCTGCACGCAGCTAACAAATCGGCACAAGATCGCCATACGATTCATACGCAAGGTGTGTATACCCTATAATTCACATTGATATCTGATTTTCAACTCCAACTCCCTTTGGCAGCTCAAGTATTTTGTGGCGCGGCGCAAGTTTAAGGAGGCCTTGAAACCGTACGACGTCAAGGACGTTATGGAACAGTATGCGGCGGGTTAGTTCAGCTTATAATCTATTTAATATTCTATATTTATATATGTAAATCACTCCTCAACTATTTACAGGACACGTGGATCTATTGGGTCGCGTCAAAATGCTGCATTTGCGGTGCGTATACTTAATATACCATTTTTTAATTTTTTTTTTTTTTGGCAAACTAGCCTAATTTTCATTTAAACTTAGATCACATCTACATAACTTCCTCAATTATATTACACATATATTACATTCAATTGAATTTCCCATCAATTTCCCTTATTCTTCTATCCCACAGTCTGGATCAGATCCTAGGCAAACAAGGCTCCAAGGCCAAGGATGTCTATGCTTCAAAAATCAGCTTAGCCTCGCGTGTGGTTAAAGTCGAGCGACAGGTAAAAAAAAAAAAAAATAAACTCTAAAAATAGCTCAAATCCATTCCCATTCCAGGTCGTGGACATTGAGGAGAAACTCGATATATTGATCAAGGCCTATATGGAGGATCGTGATAGATTCTTAGCGCTTCCGTTGCCAGCCAATCCCAAACCCAAAATACATTCCATTAGCCCTAGTCACAGTCACAGCTTGTCACATCACACACACAATCAGAACATGATCGATGTATGGAAGCGAACGGCAACGCTGAGCGTACATCCCGAGCTGGTGACGACGCCGACTGGCAGCTCGGATGCCTCCGCTCTCGATCATCTCGATGGCAATGAGACGGCGCTCACCTCCACACAGACGCTGACAACCACTACAGATGCAATTGCCACACAAACACCCATGCCGCATACACAGCATACAGCGACCAATACAAAGGTATGTCATAGCTCTCTCCATTCGTCAGATTCGCAAAGATCTATAGACATATAATTCTAGTCTTCCGTGCTTAACTCATATCAGCTACCGCCTGAGCAGCAACAGCACAATGATGTATTTATGACTGATTTAGAGAATAGAACTAAAAAACGCGTTACTTTAAGGTGAGTGGAAGAGAACCTTTCTAGGTCATCGAATTTTAAATGCTCCTGCAGATGAGACGAGGATTAGATTAAAAATAATTTAGTATAATATACAATATAATAATTAAAAATAATTATATAAAAATACTCCATGAAGAAACATTTAAATACATTAAAAAGTATATCTAAAATATGATGTAAGACTTATAAAAACAATCGAATCTCTACAAGAGCATTTAAAAACAGTTTTCAAATCTAAAACAAAAATATTTGAACAAGAGTAATTATTAACTAGCCTGCATAGATCCACATCGGAGCCATATAGCAAACACGAGCAGCGCATCAATATGCCAGATGAGGGCGCACAATCTTTGGATTCCAGTGCGAAGCCAACGCCGCCAGATAGTTCAAGTAAGCCAGGCCGTGCCTGAACTATGAGCCACAAATTTGCCATCAAAACCAATAAACACCAAAGAATCATTTCTACTTTCCCACATTTCCTAAGTTTTTTTTTTTTCAATAAAGCACCATATCATTTGATCAATTCTAAACAGAAACTTTTATTTTTAGAGACAAAAACTGAAATCAATTTCTCAATCATCCAAAATTTTTCAAAATTTTCCAAAAGAAAATATTGTAAATCTATAATATGTATATATCTTTAGTTATACTCATTGATGAGTATGAGGACTTCGAGGAGGAGGATCTAAATTGTGAGGGCGAAATGGAGCATTTTCCATCGTGGGAAATCGATAGCGACATCGGCGCCGATGTCGATGTCGATGCGGATGGTGACTGTGATGAGTCCACTGAGGACACGGCGCTCCTACAGTGCGCCACGCGCACCGCCATTGTTATAACACCCATTAGCCCAGTGAGTAACGAGATGAGAAATCAAATCTATATAAAGCCGTAATTAACCTTTGCCCTCCCTCTTCCAGGTAAGCTCAGCACTTAATCTACAAAGTTTAAATGACCAAACTACAACGCTTAATAAATCAAATTTGCTTCCGCCAGATTCTGGCTAGTTAAAAATGCAATTGAAATTAGTCGATATGTAATATCTATATATATATATAAACCCTATATATATATATAATAAATGCTTATTGTTAAGATCGTCTGCTGCTCCAAAGGGCAGCGGCGCTGTACCAACTTCTAGAGTATCATAAATGGAATCAAAAGAAAAACAAAAAACAAAAACAAAAAAAAAAAAACATTTACATTCACACACAAATTTAATTTGATTTTATTTATTCGATAAAGAAGAAAAAAGTTGTAATGACCAAAACTGCAAAACGCTTTAATAAATCAAATTTGCTGCCGTAAATGTACATACATAATATGATATATATATATAAATATAACAAGACTCGCAGATACCCTGTAAAATGACATTTTAGCCACACATCAGTTTCTTGTTTGTTCTTTTTTTTTTTTTTTTTTTTNTTAATTAGTTTTTAGAAGTTTGTAGAATTTATTATGAGCTTGAGCTGTGTAGGGTATAGAAATGCGGCTACATACCAAAACATTTTCAATAAACTCTAGCTTACTGCGATAAAAGTGTTCAAAATGAGATGAGAGATGCCAGCGAAAAAGAAGAAAAAGAGAAAATTAGATATACATATATCTGAGAGACCCAATGAAAAACCGAAAGTATGCCTGAAAAATGATATGAAATAAGAAGTGAAGAAATCAGGCATGTAAATAATAGTGGAGAGTAGCGACAGATCGTGAATGAAATGCGTGCGAATGAATGGAAAAAGAGATTCGTGATTGAAGAATCGAAAATACAAAGCTAGTTATCTAATATTACAATATTGCATACACGTGCATGTGTATGTGTCCATTTTACTGACATAATTTGTGTTCAAAATTAAGAAACGACACAACTTAAATCAATTGATAAATCAAAAGTTTAACAACTGCTTTAGCGAATAATAATAAAAGAATAAAAAAAAAAAAAAAAAAAAAAAAAAAAAAAAAAAAAAAAAAACAAAGCAAACAATCAAATCATATCGCATTGTGTACTGATTCTTATGCTATTACTGATGTAGTCTTCTATTATTTTTGCCTCTGCCTCTTATTCGGCTTGGGCTCGTGCAGCTCCTCAAACATCTCCGTTTCCTTATTCTCCAATGAGTTTCCAATAAACTCGATTTGCGTATTCGCGTTGATGCGTATGCAGCGTTTCTTCGATGAGGACGGACCGTCGCTGTTTACTTCCTTCTGCTCATCCTGCTGATCCTGCTCCTGCTCCTCCTCTTGTTCCTGCTCTTGTTCCTGCTCCTGCTCCTGCTCCTCCAGATCATCTAGTTCATCGCCTTTCACAGTGTCATCTTCTACGTAAATGCTGCCATTGTGCGCTTTACGCACATGCAATTTCAATTGCGTCGTCGAGCTGAAAGATTTGCTGCATCCACTATCGAAGAAGTCGTGACACGTATAGCGTGAACCATGCACACGCTGCATGTGATTCGAGAGGCCCTGGCGACGTCCGAACCGCTTGTTGCACGCCTTGCACTCGAAGGCGAACCGCTTGAAGTGCTGGCCCAGCACATGCACCGACAGCGACTTCTTGTTCCGCGTGACGAAGCTGCACTGGTCGCAGCTATACGATTGGTTATGCAGCTGCGGATGGGAATAGGCGTGGCGGTTAATAGTCTGGTAAGTGTTCGATGAGGGGCTTCCCTTCATGGAACTCCATTTCGGAACTCCATTAAATATTGACTGCATTCTGGCTCTCCTGTCAGCTGCTCCATTATTATTTTTATTTGTTTTGGACTCTAACTTCTGCAGCTCCTTGAAAATTATGGTGTGCTTTGGTCGCTACCTTCTGCTGCTCCATTAAAAGGTGACTATCCTTGCCCTCTATTCCCGACTGCTGCATTTAATTTAGTTGATTTTATGTATTTGGACATTATAACTGCATTCCATGATTCTGCATTGAGTCCATAACCAGAACTCCCTAACATTAGCGAAGCAATTGAGAAGTCCTTTTGGACACTAAGGAAAGTGAAATATGCAGTTGAAAAAGTAGTACAAAAAACGAGCCGCATTATGCCCTTTCTCATTCTAAAGACCTACCGAGAAGCCTGTCTTAAAGAGGCTGAACAAGAAGTTAACAATATTGAACTTTATAATACAGCTATAATTATTATAAATTTATCAAAGTTAACATCTGATATAATCTCTTGGCTTTATCATCTAAGCAGCAGAACCAGGGCATATAGACAAAAAATCATCGCTAACCAAATAAATACATTTGTCAAGCATGCCTTAAATTGCCAATAAAATTCCCTCTAATTTCATATACAGTCGAATCTCGATAATTCGTACCCCGCTAAATCGAAAATCGCGATAAACCGAAAAAAAAAAAAATTCGATTCCCTTGAATGACATTCGTTCTCAATAATTCTGGATAATTTGAATTTCTGTGCCTTGCCACTTCGAATTATCGGGTTTCTACTGTATATTCTTAGATTATAGATAAATCAAAGTCCATAAAATTCAATTCAATTCAAACTCACCCGCTGATGCGCCTCCATTTCGCTTTTATGATAGAAGCCCTTCTGGCAGACGCTGCACGAGTAGCGTTTGTTATTCGAATGCACCACATTCATGTGTGTATCGTAATTGCGACGATTTTTAACCACTTTCAAGCACAAACTGCATTCCATGGGCTCATGCCAATAGGCGTGATGTTTAGTCAGGGCATCGTTATCCTTATAGGAGGCCTTGCATAGGGGGCATACAACATTATCTAAAAATGATCAATAAATTAGCAAAGGCTTCAATTGGAATAGCGAGCACATACTATTATTATGACTACGCGCCACATGCACCGATAGCGACATTTTGGAACGATATTGCTTCTGGCAGAACTGGCAGATCCATTCGTTTTCCTTGATCAGCGGCTCATTTCTCGCAATGGCATCGTGCGAACGTCGCTTGTGTGTGTACAGCGAGTTCCAGTTAATGTAGGCCTCAGCGCAATCCTGCAGTAATGTGCATTAAATAGTCATAAATAATGTCAATATGAAATACTCGCAGGTCCCACCTCATAATCGCACATATAGTAGAGACATATCTCTAGCTTGCGATGCGATACATCTGAGCGCTGCTGCTGAAAGTTGCGCAAATGATGACGATAGAGTTTCATGTCGGCAAAGGCCTTGTCACACGGATGGCATATGAAGAATCCGTCCTTATGCACGCCCGAGTCGCGATGGGCACGCAAATCGCTCTTCTGCTTGAAGTATTCCGAGCAATATTCACAGACGTAAGCATTGCGTAAAAGTTCCGCATAGGTCTCCAAGCCAAAGCAGGCCGAGTCCTCCGCCTCCACATGAGCCTGTCAAGCAATTCAATATACATGATTAGCTGTTGCAATAGATATTTATAGCTGAGCTTACCTGCAGCTTCGCTTTACTATCGCTGAGCAGTCCACAGCCGCTGCACACGTGCACCTGACGCTCGATGATCAAATGTGTCTTCATATGCAGATTGTAGGTCGCCTCTGTGGCAAACTCGCGGCTGCACAACTCGCAGCTGATGACGCTGCCATGAACGGAGCGCTAAAGGCAGAAAATTGAAATCAAATTAGTAATAATTAATAATTAATAATTACAGCCTATAGCTGTTGCACCCACCAGATGACCGTTGAGACGACCGCGTGTCTCAAAGTTGGCGCTGCACTCCGAGCAGCTGTAGGTGGTGCTGCTGACATTCGCATGCGATTTGTTGTGCTCCATAAAGACGGCAGCGTCACGAAAGTTGCGATCACAGCTGAAACAACAAACATATACATATATAAGCAAGCAATAAAGTCAAATGTAGTCCAAGCCTTACAGATCACAAAAGAGTGTGCCCTCCGGCTCGTGCGCATAATACAAATGACGGAAGAGCTCATCAATGTTGTTGTCTGCAAAATCGCAAACGAAACAAGCGCGCGGCCTGTGACGCTCCAAGTGAAATTGATTGTGGAAATTAAAGCTGCAAGGCAAGCAAAATTATTTAGCAAAGACTAAAGAGTAAGAGGACATACGTAGGATACGTACCGCTTCCACGAGGGAAACTCCAGGCCACACATCTCACAGTATAAGCGCATGCCGCGACGCTTTTTAATGACGTGTGCGCAAGAGTGTTTATTATATTGCAATATATTGGAGAAGGTCATATTACACTCGGGACACTTGCCATAGATGGGTATTCTAAAAGAGAGAGAGAGAGAGAGAGAATCAATCAATAAATGTATTAAATTTTGCATTTTCAAGCTATTTGCTTACTCTGCCACAGGTGCGTGTAGCACCACCAGATGCATGGCCAAATATTTGCGTCCTTGTAGCTCCGCCGTGCAGCCTTCAATGGGACAACTGTAGCGCTCATCGGCCAGCTGATGGCATTTCAGCATGTGGCTGAGCAGAGTTTCATATTTGCTGCATTTCAGCGAACAATGACGGCAAACAGTGGCCCAATTGAACTGCAAAGTCTCAAAGCAGGTCTTGACCACGGTCGATAGATATTCATGCAGATCGCCAATGTTGTCAGCTGGGAATGGAAAGTTGACTTATTAGACGGTTTCTTTATACGGCTTTAGAGTGCTTACATTCTTTAATGAGTACAAAATTAAAAGGCTCCACTTTAAATGATTCATCCTCGCTTTGACTTTCATTTTGTGACTGCGATTGGGACAAGGATTGTGAAGCGGTACGTTTGACCTTACGCTCTACTTTGAAATGACGCACGTCCGCATCGGAGGAGTTATCTGCAAGGGAAGAGGATTAATTAATATGAATATGGATAGTTATATATATATACATGAGTGAAGCCTGGGCATTCCTCGACTCACCATCTTGCTCTAGCAGAAACTCCAGCTCATCATTGTTATCCTCTTCCTCCAGCTGTCCCAGCTGCTCTTCCACTGTCTCCTGCTGTATCTGCTTTTTGTCAGTTTGCTTTTCTAGCTGCCGCACTGTGGCTGCTGCATCGGCAAATTTATCATCGGCCGGCGGCTCCTCATCATCCAGAATGTCACGTATGAGCGCGCTGATTTGCTCCTGATCTGCCGCGCCATGATTTTTCGCCTTGGCTGTGGCATTTCGTGGAACTACCTCCTTGGCCTTATCGGGCAATCGTTTGGGCAGAACTGTTAAGGCTTTATTAGAAGCTTTTGCTGCAGTTGTAGCCACGGCAGTGGTAGCAATTGCATCGGGCTTTGGCAAATTTTTGACTGGAGACGCGACGCTCTTTGTCTTTGGTGACGTCGGCGTCGCCTTTTTAGCGGATTTCTCTACCTTCTTAGCAGTACTAGGTAGATCATCCAGCGACTTGGCAGCCTTTTTGGCTGCATTGGCGGCATCCTGCTGCCGCTGTAGCTCGTCTATGTCAAAGAAGCGTATTAGCGTATTTACACATTCTTGGCACAGCAATTGCGATTTGTGAGCATCGGGTTTGACAACGATTTGGAAGTACTTTGCCAAAAGATCAGCGAGCTCTATCTCGATGCCCACTTCATCGAAAATTTCTTGATATTTCTGCTTTGAACTGTGCACACTGCAATGCAGGCAGCTAGGCCCATTTTCGTTGTTTAGTTTCGGATTTTCCGACATTTTAACTTTTCACACATAGCAATCCACACGCGAAACTCTAAAAACGAGCGTCAGCTCAACGATATGAAAATGCTTAGTGCTGCAAAACGATTGCCAAACTATCGGAACTATCGTATCCAAATTGAGTAAAACTGCATATTTTAGTGCATTTATTGTGCTGCTACAAAAACGTGCTAAAAATGAACTTAAAAACTAAAGTAGCAATGAATATCAATAGTAGCGTCAACTTATCGTTTATCGATAAGCGTTTAAAATTCAAAGATTGGCGGCAAATTCAACTGTTCACACGCTTGAGCAAAGCGAAATAGCTGTAGGAGCAATTCACAATCTGCAAAGAGAAAATAAATGTATGTAATATAGTTATTTATAAGTTCGACTACTCGTACGGATGAAAAAGTAGTAGAATTGAAGCACTGAGAGTGATTCAATGTATGCATATGCAGCGGCTCACTAAAACGCAACATCATTAGCAAAGCCAATTTCCGATTACTCTTGTTCCAAGAGGTCCAATCGGAGCTATATAGTGAATGGGATAGCATTGCACTCTGATAGCTCATCTCATCGGCCGAATAGCAAATTATGAAGATTTGCAGCAACATAACAAATTGATACGATGCCATCATGATCATAAAAGCAGTTTCCTTCGTCCTAATCGAAATGGCATAGAAATTGGAGACGAGCACTAAAACGGAGCAGAGCATCTGCACCGAGCCAGGCACCTTAATGAAGCCATCGATGAGATCCTTTAGCTGAAAAATGCGAGCATAGTGAATGCAACAATTGCGCAATTCCCGAGCAATTCTCAGATTATCCTCATCTGTTACGGCCGTGCCCAAGTTCTCCAGATGGGAGGCCAACATGGCCAGTTGCGTCTCCAGAAAGTAGAGCAACGAAGAAGCGATCGAATCAAAGGCAATGTTCAGCCAGCAGGTGGGCATCAGCGACATCACCTGATAGAAATAGAGGCCATAGTAGCAGCCGGAGCTGAGCAGATTGCACGGCTCGTACATGGACAGGGGCAGGGCATTGTTGTCGACGAACCACTGCATGACCAGGATCAGGCTGGCGGCCAACAGCGATGTGTAGGCATAGAAATTGCGCCATTTGATGGAACGCTCTGCTCCGTTGCGAAATATCAACGCCTCCTTCTTGGAGCCAGGGCGAAAGCACGACGAATGCATTGCCTCAATGAGCCGGGCATGTTGACGATTCCTCAGCTTAATGCTCAGCAGCTTGGACATGCACGACACCTCGGTGGCAAACATGAAGAATACTTCCAGAATGACATTCAATTGGTCGATGTTGGCCAGCACACGTATCGCAAAGAAGAGCAACATGATGGCCACAATGCCGAGGATGAGGCAAAAGCGCAGTTGATGCAACCAGCGCTGGCAGCGTGTGGCATGCCTCGGCACTTGCCACACGCCCAGAAAATTGAAATACCATACTTGATATTTATAAAAAATGGACGTGATTTCATGATGTTCCGACATTACTTTGCAGGCTATAATGAAGAACTTTGGCCATAATTCCGGCTGCAGGCCCTTTATAAAGGCTCGCCGAGTCAAGGACATTTCAGCTAATGAGCTTTAATGAGCCGCTCATTATATGCCATAATATACACTGAAACAAATCGTAGTGCTTACCGAACTAAAGAGCATCAGGTCGAAGGAGTGACTGCTATTCAATGTTTTGATTCGCAGGGGCAAGTCCAGACGCAGCATCAGCATCAGCAGCAGCCGCTGGTTCGTGCGATGAGCGCCAACCCAATTGGATTTGTACAGGTCGTGGGGCAGGCCATAACTGCGCTCGGTAATCTCACTAAATCGTAAAAGATATATAAAATATGTTGATATCTGTAGTTGGTATAATAGCTAATTAACTTACCCCGCAAAGTAGCAGATTATAAAGATCTGTAAGAGCATGCAGCTCTGATAGATGAACATCTTGAGTAGCAATAGCGTCTCGCCAGTTGACTGTTTGTGTTATAAAATAATCAAATTTAAATTAAAAAAAAAAAAAAAATACAAAATAAAAATCTAAAATATAAGAAGCTTAGAAATTTATACTT